AATATCCCTCCGGGGATTTTTTAAAAAACAACAACAAATTACTCTGTATTGGTAGCATAGCTGTATCAAAAATGTCTTTAGTGTTTCCGTTATCTCTTGGAGAGTAGCCATTGTTTCCACGGAGCAACTTAGATAGCTAGACCATTTATGTTTGTTTAGACAAAACCTGAGAATCCACCAAATCCACTCTTCAGTTTGCAACGTTAGGTATATTTAGGACAGCACAGTCAAAATCTTCTAATGATTATAATTCTTTTAATGTTATTTCCTTTGGATTGAGAGCTGCTTCCAAATTGAGGGGGGAAGGATGACTGGGTAACCGTTCCCCCCCTCCTCTTTATCTTTCTGACCTTTTTTTACAGTTCTTCAGCTCTGTTTCAACAAGCATTTCATGCAAGTACAGAAAAAAAGAAACTTACTTGTAGAGTATCTTCTTGTAGTTGATGCAGAAAGTGTAGTTGATGCAGAAAGTGCAGAAAGAAATACACTTAGTTTCTATTCTTAAAAAGTCCGGTAGTCACAGTTAGTGCCAATATGGTGATTGCCTTGGCTGGGTCTTTGGGGTAGACAGACTCCAGATTCAAGCCGCCACCCGAGTCTGGTTCTTCGTCACTCCCCCTGCTTCAGGGCCCCCTCTCCTGGGGCCCCCTAGGAGTCTGGGTAGCCCAGACTCCCCCAAACCATGTAATTTGGGTGGCTGCTGGAGCAGAGCTCCACAGCTTGCCCTGATCTCGCTGTGCCAAAACCAGAAGCCCACAATTCAGCAGTCTTTCTAATCTCCCTTTGAAAGAGAACTGCTACTCTTATGTCAGCAACTGAATGTTTTGGAAAGTTAAAATGTTCACCCACTGGTTTTTAAATGTTGTGATTTCTAATAGCAGTACAAAGAGTAAGATTCCTCCTGGGCTGACAGACTAAGCGTTATTAAAAGCATTTTATTACCGAAATTCATGTTTCTCATACGTACTTTACCCATCCAAATCACGAGAAAAGAGCTGTCTAACTGGCAGAAGGCTTTCCTTCAATTCTTCTGGGATTACAAAAAACCCCGCATCAGTTTCACAGCACTGAAGAGATCATCAAAAGATGGAGGTATGGACTTTCCTGACCTAACTCTCTACTACGAAGCAACTCAGCTCGCCTCAATTGCACGCATCCTAACCACTGAGACAACACCACGTTGGCAACAAATTGAAGAAACTATCTGTGATGGGATTCCCCTGACAGACCTAATCTGGCAAACACCTAGAGAAAGGCATGAAAACACTGCGCTACTTTCCTTTTTTGCAGCAAGCTTAGAGGTCTGGGACAGACGAAGACACCTTCTCTTGCCAAGTGACTCTCGGTACTCATCGTTCTTAAATCAATCATGGTTCACCCCAGGAAAGAATACAAAGGCGTTCCAAAAATGGAGACAGGCTGGCTTAACACGCCTAATTGACCTTATTGAAAAAGGAACTCCACTCACCAAACTACAAATAGAAGAGAAAATTAAAGCAAAAGTTCCTTGGTTCCTATATTTGCAGATCCAACATCTATTAAGAGAAAGGATATTAAATAAACACTCCGCGAAAACTCCTACGGACTTTGAACGGATTATTGCATACAAATCGGATGACATCAAAGGCTTGATCTCAAAGATATATAAAATTCTAAATAAAAACATTAAACAACCAATTTTGAAATCTCAGCACCAATGGCAGATTGATTGCCAAAACAGGCTTCAACAAACACAATGGACGGAAATTCTGAGGTCGTCAAGTTTAACATCCAGAATTTTTAACATTAAACTAACATCCTTCAAAACGTTGCACAGATGCTATCTTACACCGGCTCGCCTACACAGAATCAACCCACAATATAGTAAATACTGTTGGAAAGGCTGTGGACAAACGGCAGACTTTATACACTGCTGGTGGACCTGTCCACACATTCATTCATTTTGGATACACATTTTATCGCAAATAAAAAGTATCACGGGACTTAACTTACCTGAGCTTCCTGAAACGGTTTTGCTTGATGTTCCTCCAGAGACCTGCGAAAGAAAAATCCAAAAAATATTAACCTCAACGCTTCTAGCTATAGCAAGACTAACAATTGCACAGAAATGGAAAAGCAAGAATATCCCAAGACTGGCAGACTGGCAAAATAAACTTTGGGAACATTTCTTATATGGCAAATCGACTTTTCAACAAACCCAGAACTCTATAGAAACCTTTCAAGCAATTTGGTACCCGGTAGTACAATACCTAACAAAAGAAAACATCATTCCGCAAAATGACCACCTTAAAGATCTACTACACTTTTGATACGGGGAAAGATAGCTTAAACAAACTTTAAATAAGTACAATGTCTTCAACATGCACATTACTTTCTTGCTATACAATGGTTATTTAATGTATATTGATAAGCATAGTGTCTATCTGCTGTTAACTGGTTATACTTTATGGTTTTGTTATTCAAAAATAATAAAAAAAATTTAATTCAAAGAGTAAGATTCCAGTAGCATCTTAAAAGACTAACAAAATTTGTGGTAAAATTTGTCACTGCTCACATCTGTAGACATATTTCCATTTATTCTTTGCATCCTCCTGGACTGAATCCTCCTGGACCAAATTGAGACCTAGGTTTCCTGTCTCATTACCACGCCTACTACCCCTTTGCATATCACACCTAATCCAGTCAAGCGTGCTACTGTCATTCATCATCTGACAGCTTATATCTCAGGTACCTCGTGTTACATTTTATGGCACACATGGCCCAGCTTACAAAGTGACATTTATGTCAGATCTGGCCCTCATAACAAATTAGTTTAACAGCTGGTCTAATTCATTATAAGGCAGCTTCATGGGTTCATGTGTATGTCTGATATTTGGTTGGCTGCAAATGGAATATTTTAACAAGAACAGTAATAAATAATCTCAGCCAGTCCAGGGCAGTCTATCATCAATAAGTGGTTAAAATGGGAAGTAAAGTAGCATGTATTAACTACTTATGTGTGTCAGTGCAAACTTGCAGCTATGCATGTTTTTATTACTAGAGTACCCATATCATATTCACATGGGACAACTGACGTAACTAACTCCAAAAACCTGGATATGCAAATAAAATTATCAGATTTTTAAAAGGTTAGTGATGTTTTCTGATTCAAGCTTTTCAGGTTTCTCTGGAAGAAACTGTGGTGAACCTAATATTATCATAACGGTCCATTGCAGGATGTAAATTTAAGTGATGCTACTCATGATTTAATTGCATATAAGATGGTTTAGCTAAAATGTGGCGTGTTCTCTTTATCTGTGTACTGATGTGATTTTTTTCATACATGATTCAAATTCTTAGGAAGAGTGTAGAACTGTAATAATTATGTCCCTTATAAGATGGTATTAAAATTCTTTTCTCAACTTTGCACAGTTTCTACTTTTTTCTTTTTGGCCCCCCGGAGGGGATTTTTTTATTGCATTTTATATATAGACTACAAACTACCATGAAAAAAGGGAGGGGTACTACATTTAGGGAGAAAGTAAAGATAACACTACTGACTAAAAACCCAAGAGAGGAGATCTTCAAAATAGCTTATATACTATACCATCCCTTTAAACGCTACATTCTATGAACTTAGTCAGTCATGCTTTTATAACTTTTTAATCTTAAGTTTAACTGTTAGGAAAGATTCCCTCAGCATCTCCATGTTAAAATATCTTATTTATCAGAGTTCCATTGAGAGTCTTTCAACCTTTTCTTTCTTTTCCTGGAGTTTAAAGGTCACGCCCTCTGGGTATAACCACCTATAGCCAATTGCATTGGTTTGAAGAAAAAGGATTAAATCTTTATACTTCTTTCTCCGTTGTCTTATTTCAAATGGAATATCTTTCAAAATCCGAATAGTCTTGTCCTCGATTCTCAAAGGTGTCCCCGCCATCGCTCTCAGGATACAATCCATTTCATGCCTCTTCGAGAATTTCCCCAGGCAGATTATTCTTCTTTAGCCAACTTGGTGGTTCCTTCCGGTCTTGGACTCTCAGCTCCTTTCGTTTTTAAAAGCTTCTCCCTCTCCGTCCTTTTCCCCGCCATCTTTTTCGATTGTTTACTTTCGCCCAACTTTTAAAAGTCTCTGAATTTGCCCTCCATCTCTCATGCGTGCCTTGGTAAGTCTTTCCAGCAGTTTTTTAACCGCTTTGCTTCTGCTCCCCCCCGATCTCGCTTAGAGTTTGTGCGCCTAGGAGGGGCCACTCCCCCGCTCGCTTTGCCCTCTAGTCCGTGGGGTTTTGGGGGAGCTTTCTTTTTAGTTTATCAAATCGCTTCCATCTGACTCACGTTCATTATTGGCCATCCGACCTCTTTTACTTTCGTTTTCCACCACTCGATTTCCTGCGCTTGTCCCAGCCAGCTTCACTAATTTTAAACGGACACAGACGGAGGGCGCATGGGGACGGAGAAGTGCCTCGATTCCCCAGCATCGTGCTGGGGAAGAGGCAACCTCTCAGAAGTCCCTTGGCCAGGAGGCTTTCCCTAGTCTCCTGGGGGGAGTGCGATACATCACCCCCCCTCCTTTCCACCTGCGTGCAGTTTCACCCCCGGGAGGTCCAGGAGGTGCGACTGCTCAGCGTGCAGCCATCCACCGGAAGTCCACAGTTTCTACTTATTGAATGTTTCTGGTATCCTCATTTATTTATGATGTCACTGGGATGGACCTGAACAGAGCTTAAAATATCATTTTGCCTATCTCCTTTGAGAAGAATTATCTCCAAGCAATCCCTGGTTCTTAACAATTACTTATACTAATGGTATAACATTCATAAGAAATCGGGGTATTTCACAATGGGAATTACTTTTCCTGATGGTTCACTTAACATACTTCATGTATTTTTATAAGTTTTCATTATCAATCATTGCTGCCTAATTTTGAATGAGAGGAAGATAAAATTTCTATCATATCCTGGAAAGTCTTTGATGTTCTTTGATGGCGTATTCTTTAACATAGTTGTGATATTTTTCTTTAGGACATGTGGTCATTGGATAAAGAAGTTCGTTCCTGGAATGTATATATTGGTTTAGAGTTAACAATAAAGAACATGTTGACATCACTGAGGGTTATAACAGAGCTTCAGAATCCTGCAATGAGAGACAGACACTGGTATCAGCTGATGGATGCAATAGGTGTAAGTATCATACTACCATTGATTGTTCTTGGCTCTTGTCACATATGTGATGACACTTCTTCCTGTGTCTACAAGTGAAAAGGGGGGGGGGAAGCCATTTTTTAATTTCATGAATCTCTTTAAAAACTATTTGTTTAAGTTTGTTCATGATTTCCAGAACAAGAACATAAAACTGTGATGCATAAAATGTGTGGCTTTTGTGGAAAAGCTACTGAAAGACCTTAGTAGAGACGTCCCCTTTTTTCCTCATGGGAGTCAGTAATTTATATCTCAATATGTAAAACAGACCACCAGGAACTTAATATGGTTCATAGAGCTAATAAAATCTGAGTAAGTGTTTGTTGAAGGCCAAAAGACCACGGCTTCCCATGCTTTGGAGAATTTACTCCATGGAACTGTGTATCAGGTATTGCATATATGTTGCTTCATATTCAAATTCTGATCCAATCTCAGATTAAACCTCTCACTAAGTAGAGAAATAAACATTGTAGTTCTTGAGCCCCTCCACCTCCAATTTCAAGAATGATAGATGTAGAAGACTGTATGAATGTATTGTTTTTAGATGATCTTCATTGCAGAAAATGTTAATTATGGGAACACTTCCAGGTAAAGTGTTTTTAGGGTGGCAGCCAAAGTCATCAGTTGAGGATGAGAAAATTAATGTCTTCCAAACATTTAAAAGGTGGTACAAAACTGATTTATTAGCAAAATGTGTTGCTGTAACAATTCTCTCAAATTACTTGCAAAATGCATTGCTTATCTGGTATTTCCTTTGGTTTATAAAATATATAGCAGCATAGACATGATCCCTGTCTCAAGTCACAAAAGTGGGGGAAAGGAGGAACTCTTTCTTCCCTGCTTTGACTTACAGATTTTGCTCCATAGAGAGAGATGAGTGGGGCATACTTTATTCATTAAAAGAAAAGCAGAGAAAATAGAAGTGCAAGGTGAGAGCAATGAGGTGGTATAAAAATAATTTCAGTGAGCAAACAAATAGGTCAAAAGCCTGCTGCTCCTCTGGTTTATTTTGCAGGTTCATTTTTTAGTGAGCAAACATACAACATTAGCGGAGTTGCTGGCACTGAAGCTACACAAGTTTGAAGATGACATTAGAAGTATTGCTGACAAAGCAGTGAAAGAGCTAGGCACTGAAAAGGTTTGTATTTTTCCAGTTTTGGCTATATTTAACAGCTGTATGGATATGAATTACGGTAACAATTTCAAGGCATTTGACTTTCATGAAATTTGCCATAACAGTTAAGAAAATGGCAGCTTTTGACAAACG